GTACTAAGTTTTCAAACCCTGCATGCAGGCTGCTAAGCAGAGTATAAACTTTAATATTTTCAGGAAAATTCACACCTAGAGATGACAGTCGGTTGAAATACTCAGTCATCTGTGACGTGTGTTCAACCACACTATCCCCTGGCTTCAGTTTCAACTCATACAAAGCACGTATAATGTTCACCTTCTCTCCGGGCGTGGCTCTATGGTGAATTCGCCTAAGAGCTTCCCAAATTTCAAATGCAGACCTTAAATTTTCCACATGAGGTAATTGGGAATCGTCTATCGATACCATCAACATGCATCTAGCTTTAGTGTCCATTTTATCATGTTCCCTGTTCTGAGCATGTGCAGCAGCCTGTTGCTCTGCTGTGGCATCTGCTGCAACAGCCACAAACGGCTTTCGCCTCTGGACATAGTCAGCCCACACTTCTTTGGCTTCCAACCAGACTTGAGCCCTCTTAGACCACTGCACGTAATTAGCAGAGTTCAACTTTGTAAAGGGAACCTGGAAATTTTCCACTGCCATTCTTGGGGTCTGCTACTACTCCCTCTGTGTCCCCTTGCTTCTCTTTCCCCTTGGGATTTGTTTTACTCACTTTTCAGATGCCTCCAGCCTCCTCTGAAGCCTTTTAAACTTTTTCCCTCCATCTCTTCACTAGCAACCTACCACCGTCCTCTGTTTTTATTAACAAAACAAAAACACAACGGGAGGTCAAGCTAGCCTTTTGCAGCTAATGAGGCTGTAAATCTTCACTTACGCAGCTCTCTCAACTTTCTGCAGCCTCTCAGTTCCTTTAAGAGCTGGATTTACGACCAAGCCGGTCTTCTCTCACCCGAAAGCTGCTTTCACTTTCTCTGCACACAATACAGCTGTAGAAACGTAGAAGGAGCCATAACCTAAGAGAGTCTGTGTACTGGTCCAGTAAACGCTTCCGCTGCGCCACCAGCAACAGTTCTCTTTGCAGAGCATTAATTAAGTCCAGTGCAGAGATTCTTGTTGCAGTACAAGCTTCAAAGTCTCAGCAGCAAAGAAATAACGACACAGGGAAGCCTGTCTTTCCAAAGACAGGTTTATTGCAGAAAGATAACAGAAACACCTCCGGAGCTTTCAGACATTTTTGCTTCACGCCCCACAGGCAGAGAAAACAAACACTCTTTATATACTGAGCAACTTAACAACTTAACGAGCTTGACTACTTAAAGTCACATGACATTGCTAACTTGCCAGCGTCTTAGGTTTCACACCCTAACAGTACGGGCAGTCCGAACCCATGCCTGTGTAAACTCCGCGTTCCTTTTCCCAACCTTTAACCTGTCTATGATTAATGTCTTATATGCAATAATTAATGTCTTATATGCAATCCTTGCTTTGAACTTGTGTTAACCAATCAGCAACAAGCACACGTGGCAAACACAGTAATATTCAATAAAAGAGAGTCTCTGAGGCTTGCTCGAGAGACGCCTCCCGTATGACACCTGCCTACTCATCTGTCGTTCATTTTCAACCCAACAGACTGCTACCTCCAAGCCAACGAGCTGACAGAAGTATCAAAGGAACGGAAGCGGGGCCTATTCCTCAGCCTCTGTGGGCCTGAGGTGTTTGAGACGGCCTGAGCATTGGTTGCGCCTGAAGCAGTCCAGGAAACACCATGGGACACGATCCAAGAGAAGCTCCGCAACCACTATGCGCCAAAGCCGTCCAAGATTGCTGCCCGCCATGCGTTCTACCACCGGAACCAGGCAGAGGGGGAGTCAATCAACAACTACACCACCGCCCTGCAACAGGCTGCAATGCACTGTGAGTTCTGAGACTTAGACGATACCCTGATGGATCGAATCGTCTGCTGGGTCCGGGACATCCATCTGCAATGGCGTCTCCTCACCAAGCCAGACCTCACGCTACAGAAAGCCATTGAGGAGGCTGTGGCCTCAGAAGCTGCTGAAGGAGATCCGCAAGTCCAGCAGCCCGCGTCTTGCTAGGAAGCCAGTTCCAGTGCATCACGAAGAGGCCAGCAGTGATGAGACATCCTCCAGTGAAGACGATGACGTGCACCAGACAAAGCGGGAGTGCAGGAAGTTCCAACAGAAGTCCAAGGGCCAACCGGAATGTGCCGGCTGCGGAGGCAACCATTCCCGTGCCAAGTGTCGATTCAGAGACGCCATCTGTCGGACGTGTTCCAGAAGGGGCCACATCGCTAAGGTCTGCCGATCGGCTCCGTCTGACACCCCCCCCTTCACCGACTTGCAAGTCCAAGTCTTCACTCCAGTCTGCCAAGGAAAGCTGTTTTGCTCTCACCAACTGCCGCTGCCCGTCTGGAACCACGATTGGCCAAACCGACTCGCCTACGCGATGCAAGCTGAACGTCACGGTGCTCATTGAAGGAGCTCCATGTGACATGGAGATCAACACCAGGTCTGCCCTGTCCATCGTGTCTTGGAGCACCATCAAAAGACTAGTACCCAGAGTGTCCAAAAGGCAACTTGACTCTCACCGCGTACACCTGAGAGACTACCAGGGAAACGACATTCCCGTGGTAGGCGTTGGCCGGTTCCAGATTGCCTTCAAGGATTTTTTGGGCCTGCTCTGACTGGTGGTGGTCGAAGGTCAGCGGCCAAGCCTCCTAGGGCTAGACTGGTTTGATTCCCTCAGCCTGGAACTCACCGGCATCAACTGCATCTCTAACGCAGAGACTGAGAGTCTGGTCAAAGACTTTGCCGAGGTTTTTGACGACACTTTGGGGCAATATACAGGTACGCCCATCTCCTTTAGCCTTGATCCACAAGTCGCCCCTATCAAGCTAAAGCCACGCCGGGTTCCCTTTGCTCTCACCCTTTGCTAAGGTGGACGAACAACTGGACAAGCTGATCGCCCAAGGAGTTTTGGAGCCGGTTGACCACGCCAAGTGGGAAACCCCCATCGTCACGCCTGTCAAGCCGGACAGGTCGGTGAGAATCTGCGCCGACTACAAGTGCACAATCAACAAGGCACTTCAGCAGCACGCTTATCCGGTTCCTGTTGTTCAACACCTGCTGCATTCCCTGGGTGAGGGTAAGGTCTTTGCTAAGTTGGACCTTGCCCAAGCCTATCAACAACTGCCCGTTGATGATGCCACTGCTGAAGCCCAGACGTCACCCACCGAGGGGCATTCCGTTGCCGCCGTTTGCAGTTCGGGGTGAGTGTGGCTCCTGGCATTTTCCAAAGCCTTGTGGAGCATCTCCTGCAAGGGCTTCCGGACGTAGTATCGTATTTTGACGACGTCTTGGTGTCCGCAGACTCACACCAGCAGCTGTTCGAGCACCTCTGCGCCGTGCTGACCAGGTTCCAGGAAACCGGACTCAAGGTAAAGAGGGAGAAGTGCCAGATCGCCGTTCCACAGGTGGAGTTCCTGGGCTATCTTATCGACGCCTCCAGCCTTCACCCGACCACATCCAAGATCCGCGCTATCCAGCAGGCCCCCATCCCAAAGAACAAGACGGAGTTGCAGGCGTTCCTGGGGCTGGTGAACTTTTATGACATGTTCCTGCCCCACAAAGCCACAGTGGCTGAGCCTCTTCACCGACTCCTCAGCACAAAGACACCTTGGTCCTGGGGTCATCGGGAGACGGCGGCCTTCAACGCGGTCAAGGCTCTCCTTTCATCAGACAGCGGCTGGTACAGTACAGGTCAGTACAGTAGGCACAGGTCAAATCTGTATCCAGGGCAGCTGTTTACCAGCTCCATCTGGTACGTAGGCTGAGACCCTATCTGCCTGCAGACTGTCTCGCCAGAGTGGTACATGCTCTGGTTATCTCCCGCTTGGACTACTGCAATGCGCTCTACGTGGGGCTACCTTTGAAGGTGACCCGGAAACTACAACTAATCCAGAATGCGGCAGCTAGACTGGTGACTGGGAGCGGCCGCCGAGACCATATAACACCGGTCTTGAAAGACCTACATTGACTCCCAGTACGTTTCCGAGCACAATTCAAAGTGTTGGTGCTGACCTTTAAAGCCCTAAACGGCCTCGGTCCAGTATATCTGAAGGAGCGTCTCCTCCCCCATCGTTCTGCCCGGACACTGAGGTCCAGCTCCGAGGGCCTTCTGGCGGTTCCCTCACTGTGAGAGGCCAAGTTACAGGGAACAAGGCAGAGAGCCTTCTCGGTAGAGGCGCCCGCCCTGTGGAACGCCCTCCCATCAGATGTCAAAGCGATAAACATCTACCTGACATTCAGAAGACATCTGAAGGCAGCCCTGTTCAGGGAAGTTTTTAATATGTGACATTTTAGTGTATCTTTCATCTGTGTTGGAAGCCACCCAGAGTGGCTGGGGAAACCCAGCCAGATGGCGGGGTACAAATAATAAATTATTATTATTATTATTATTATTATTATTATTATTATTACAGTGAAGCCAGGCCGCTGGTCCTTGCCTGCGACGCCTCACCTTTTGGCATTGGCGCTGTCCTTAGTCACCGTTTTCCAGACGGAAGAGAAGCACCGCTCGCCTACTTTTCCAGGACGCTATCTCTGACTGAACGGAATTACAGCCAGCTCAACAAGGAGGCACTGACACTTGTGGCTGTAGTGAAGAGGTTCCATGAATACCTCTACGGCAGGACTTTTGACCTCATCACTGACCACAAGCCGCTCCTGGGCCTCCTCACCGGTGATCGTCCAACTCCACCGGTCCTCTCGCCGCACATGCTGCAATGGACTGTTTTCCTGGCTGCCTACCACTACCAGCTCGTCCATCGCCCAGGGAAATCGATGGGCCATGCTGACGCCCTCAGCCGTTGCCCTCTTCCAGCGTTTGTGGAAGACCCGGCTCCTGCTTCATCGCTCCTCCTGATTGAGGATCTTCCGGCAGTGCCTGTATCGGCTGCCACTGTGGCCTCCTCATCTGCCAGGATCACACCATCAGCTGTGTGCTCAACTGGGTGTGTAGGGGGTGGCCACAAGGGCCTTTTGCATCAGAGTTCCAATTGTTCGCAACCAGACAACATGAACTCTCGGCTCATCGCGGCTGTCTGCTGTGGGGAGACCGCGTTGTGATTCCCCAAAGACTCCGTCAACGTGTCCTGGAGGCTCTGCACGTTGGCCACCCGGGAATCGTCAAAATGAAGGCGTTGGCTCGGTGTTACGTCTGGTGGCCTAACATGGACGATGCCATCACTGCCTGGGTGTCCGCCTGTCAAGCCTGCCAAGAATCAAGGCCTGCACCACCGGCAGCTAAGGAACACACCTGGGAGACGCCCAAGACACCCTGGTCGAGGTTGCACATCGATCTGGCTGGCCCCTTTCATGGCCGGACCTTTATGGTAGTGGTGGACGCCTATTCCAAATGGCCTGAGGTGGCCCTGATGTCCTCCACCACTACCGAGGCTGTCATCCGGGTGCTGCGAGGCCTCTTTGCGACGCATGGGTGTCCTGATGTCCTTGTCTCCAACAACGGACCGCAGTTCACATCAGGCACTTTTGAGTGGTATCTTTTGGGACTGGGCATCCGCCATGCCCTAACGGCACCATTTCATCCATCCAGCAATGGGCAAGCGGAGAGAATGGTGCGCTTGGCAAAAGAGGCACTGGTGCGCCTGGACCGGGGAGATTGGCACGAGTGGGTCGCTGAATACTTGTTTGTGCAACACATCACCCCTCATGCGGCCACAGGGCAGAGTCCTGCTGAACTGCTTATGGGCCACCTCAGGTCCCCGCTCGACCGGCTGCACCCGGACTTTGCCGTGGCCGAACCCCCAGGCTGTGCCAACGCGCCACAGTCATTTGTTCCAGGAAACCAGGTCTTTGCCCGGAACTATGTGGGGGACATTCCTTGGGTGCCAGCCACAGTAGTGGGAGTCACTGGACCTTGCTCATACCAGGTGGCACTTGAAGACGGACACTTGTGGCACTGGCACATAGACCAGCTTAGGCGCAGGGTTGGGGACTTGGACACTACCGTGGTGCCCCCAACTGCGCTCGTGGCTCCGGAAGAGACACTTACCGATGGTGAGGCTCCACCTCTCTCGCAAACTGCCAGCATGGAGCCGAATGAAGTCACTTCAGAGGGTCTGCCAGACTTACCACAGGCCCAGACCACTCCACTTGTAGAGGCTCCACTCACAGCAGCGGGTCCAGGGGACTTGGTTTCAACGCACCACAGCCTCAGCAAGAATTGTGCCAAGCAGGCATCGGACAGAATACACGACGACCAGATTCCTTTAACGGAATACCCCTAAATTGAAGGCATAGGCGATGGCCACACCCAGCTCTTCGACACACCACAACACATTATTCCAATGCCTAACCTACCCACCAACACCACAAAAGTTGTGACGATTGCTACGAGGTAGGCGAAAAAACCAAAAAGCCTAATGCCAAATGGAAAAACTCCTACCAGGCCCCCTAGACAACCAGGGCGACCAACCTAAGGTCCATAGCAAGGCCAATGACCTAAGCCCTAACTCAAAGGGAGTGGAGGGTGGGTGACTCGCGGCGAGACGACGAAGAATGAGGCCGGGGAGAGGCTGGCGCCACAGCAAAAGGCTGCTGAACACGCCCCCTCTCAGGCACCTGGTTGGATGCCTGCCAAGGGGCGTGGGCGCCAGCCAGGTGAGATGGAGGCAGGGGGCTAACGCCCCCTGCTAGGGGCGGTGCTCGGCTCCCGCCCACAACCACTCCCCTTTCTTCCAGGGAGGAGAGTCTTTGTGGTTCGAGGACCCGACCCCCGCAATGTGAAATGAATACACAAGGACACATGATATAAGGTTAATGGGCAAGGAAAGGCCACAACTTTATTGATTACAGCAGTGAAAAGGTATTGGCTTAGGCATTGGATCTCTAAAACAAGTGGGTTTATTCACCAGTAGGTGGAGCCTGTTGATGCTAATCCAACTATAGGCTCACCCCTGATGTCACCGAGGGTCGTGCCATGGCCTCCCGCCAAGCAGGCATCGGACAGAATACACGACCGCCAGATTCCTTTAACGGAATACCCAAAAATTGAAGGCATAGGCGATGGCCACACCTAGCCCTTCGACACACCACAACACATTATTCCAATGCCTAACCGCCACCCGAGCCGAAAGGCTCGCCGCCAATACCCTCACAGCTGTAACCAATCCCTGATGCTGCTGATGATGCTAGTTAACCAAATGTCATTCCCTTGGTCTGAAAGATGAACCCCATCATTCCGGTACAAGGCTTGGTCGCCAATCCGGATACGGTCATGAGAGATGACTCGGCCATACAAAAAGTGCACCCAACGGGCTATTGCACGATTCAAGAGTTTCCTGGATTTTTCAATGGCCATACAGTTCTGCACACCGTGCCACACAACTCTCTTCAGGAAGGAGGACCAGAACACCGTTGTGCCGGGACACAAGGCAGCAATCTCATCCAAATCTCTTTTTATGTGTCACGACAAGTCCACACTTCTTCTGCTAACAAGGTCATTTTCCTCTAATTGAAGGATAAGGATGTCAGGAGGGCCAAACGCAGCAACTCTCCCTCTCAGCAATGGCATAAGCAATGCCTCGTCTCGAAAACCAGGAAACTCGCACTCAGCAATGGCATAAGCAATGCCTCCTCTCGAAAACCAGGAAACTCGCACTCAGCAATGGCATAAGCAATGCCTCGTCTCGAAAACCAGGAAACTCGCACTCCAGGTGGCAATCCAAGGTTAGGGGTGAGGCCACAGCAAACTGACCGTACGTGGGCCGAATGGACTATACCATGGCCACAAATCCAGACACTTCTGAGAACGGCTGAGAATAAAGGAAAGTAAAAAATTACGGATAAGTAGAGGTAAAGGAGCAGAGCGCATTCTAACGAGTGTAACCTTTATAAGCGTCGGATATCCCCCAGCCCATTTCCTTAATCTTATCCGCTGGCAGGCCCAAGCGTGCAGCTGTTGTGGCGGCGCCAATCCTGAATGAGTGTGCCGCATAATCCTGGGAAGATAAACCACAGGCATCAATAGCTTTGCGGAGTGCCCTTGTGAATTGGTGTCTCAACAAAGGTGACCCATCCTCGTGAACCAGGAGCGGGCCAGAACCGGGCGGTCTGAGGTAAAGGTACCATCTAGTGTCCTTTACCGGGCATGGGCCCTGCTGCGCCGACGCTGTAAGCTTAACTAGAACACCCATACCGGCCTGATCAGTATCCGCACCGTCAAGCTAGATTCGGACCACTGCACGTCCTCCCTAAGGAGGGCGCGCGTTGAACCTCCTGCGCTAACTTCAACCACAGCTTCACCAACTCCCAGAATGCCAAAAAGGCGATAGCGTACGTCGCGGAAAAGAGGCGGGCTTCAAACCTGGTCCAGCAAATTGACCTGAGCTTTATGTGTATCTGAGATAGCAACCCATAAGAAATTGGCTTACGGCCCTCGGCCCTGGGGGGTTGTAGCCTGCCCCAACCTTCAATAGCTCTGTGGATCAGGAAGTCACTACACGGATCGGAGGAAAATGTGGCTTTAGCAAAGAAGCTGATGGCGGCTACGTGTATCTTTAAGGTTTTGGGAGCACGTCCCAAATCGTCAAGATGGGAAAGGTACTGCAGAACATCATCAGTGGTGGGTGGCATGTTATGCGAAAGCCCAGATATCCCAGACCTGAAACCCAGGAAATCGCACCAGGCCTTCTTGTAAGACCTGAGAGTGGAGGGTGTGACAGACGCTAATACTCCCTGTATCACTTTGCGTCTCCAACGTTCCACAGGTGCTCCGGAAAGGGTTCGGGCAACAGTTGTGCTCCAGGTGCTAGCGACCGGAAGTGAGATATCTGAAAGCGAGACAAGGCACCGGCTATATCATTATTGGTCCCTGGTATGAATTTGGCTGAAAAAATTATGTTGTACTCAAGGCACCGGAGAACGAACGCCCGCAGAAGGGAGGAGACCCTCGCAGACCGAGATGACTGCCTGGCCAGTATGTTCAGGTTGTCGGTCCTGAAGCACACACGGCGATTTCGAAACTCCTCCGTCCAGATGAGAACGGCCACTACTATTGGGGGAAAAAAACTCGAGAAAGGTGAGATCCCACGTGATGGCCTGGCCCTGCCACCCCGTTGGCCATCGTTGCGCACACCATCGTCCCCTGAAGTACAAGCCAAAGCCCAGGGACCCTGCCGCATCTGATTGGACCTGGAAATCTGAGGACAAATTTAGAACATCCTGCCATAGGGATACCCCATTGTAGTGTTCCAAAAATGTCACCCACACCTTCAGGTCTGCCTTAACCGACTTGGAAAGTCGGACCCTGTGGTGTGGGTGTCTGAGACCAACTGACAGCCTGCCCGATCGAAGAATTCGATCGAAGAATGCGGAGAGGAGGGAGCTGGATCAGGGGAAATGCTAGACCCGGAGGGTCCCTATCGTCTGTTCCCTGCTGTGGGGGCTTCTCTGGAACTGGAACCCCGCCTCCCCGAAAGGGCTGCTTCCCTTTGTAACACGCTATGGCTGGGAGTACCCCTGCACACCTCTCGCACTCGTGCAGATACTTACAAGACTGCCTTTGGCATGACCCCTTATTGAATTCCCAACATACCTTGCGCTTTGGCTCCCTTCTTAGGTCTGGCTTACCCGTGCAATAAGAATCTAATGGCTTCTTCTCAGCATACGGGACGACCGCCACAGACCAGGTGCCATTTTCAATTTGATCCCAGCATGCTAGAGGGATCGAGGCCGGGGAGAGGCTGGCGCCACAGCAAAAGGCTGCTGAACACGCCCCCTCTCAGGCACCTGGTTGGATGCCTGCCAAGGGGCGTGGGCGCCAGCCAGGTGAGATGGAGGCAGGGGGCTAACGCCCCCTGCTAGGGGCGGTGCTCGGCTCCCGCCCACAACCACTCCCCTCTCTTGCATGGAGGAGAGTCTTTCTCAAACTTAATCTGTTCTGGAAGTCCATTTCAAAACCAAAGCATTCCAAAACCAAGGCACGCTTTCCCATAGAAAGTAATGCAAAATGGATTAATCCTTTCCAGACTTTTAAAAACAACCCCTAAAGCAGCGATTTAATATAAATTTTACTATCTAACAAGATCATTGATCCATAAAATGAAAGCTATAAGGTATGTCCAACTTCAACTACCCATTGCCATTGGAAGGATGAAGAGCACGGGGGGGAGGGTTTGTGTGTGGAAGGAGGTGGCTAACTGGATGCGGGAGGGGAAGTTTACATGGCGGTGAAGGAAAGGGAGGCACTGCTGGGGCCGAGCCACTCGGCGTTGCTCTGGTGCCTGAAGCTGCAGTCACAGGCGTCACCCGGTACCAGAGGATGTGGCGGTGGCGGTGGCAGACCCAGTGACATCCCTTGCCTGCTTGCTTGCTGCCCAGCCTGGTCTTCCCTCACTCAGAAAAGGGAAGTGTGGTACCGAAAACGGAGGTGTAACACTCAGAATGGAGCAAGTTCGACTTCCAAAAAAAGTTCAAAAACTGGAACACTGACTTCTGGGTTTGCAGTGTGTGGATTCCAAGTTGTTCGGGAACTAAGCTGTTCGAAAACTGAGGTACCACTGTAATGCATTGATAATGTTTTATTTCTACTAATGTACCTGAGTCCTTGGAGGGATTTAATAATGTATTTTTAATCTTTGTTGGAAGCCGCCCAGAGTGGCTGGGGAAACCCAGCCAGATGGGCAGGGTACAAATAAATTATTATTATTATTATTATTATTATTATTATTATTATCATTCAGGAGATAAGGAGGATCCACAGCATTTCTTCTCTGTACCCCTCTCTACTACATGAATCCACCTGCTGTACATGCAGTTCTTGGGAAACTTTTTTTTTTTGTACTTTTACGAATGTGGACAATCAACCATCTAATCCAAAAATTATCATATTTTTTCACCTTTTTTCCTTAGAAAAATCGGCAAAAATTGCGAGTCATCTTATACATGGATAGCAGTGGTGGGATGGGCGATTGGTGGCAGCAGCCAGCAGGCGATTGACAGCAGTAATTAGGCGGGAGATTTACAGCAGTGGCAAGTCATGTGTGCAATTTGCTGTGTTTGCATCGAGAGGGCAAGTGGGCTTTTGGCAGTGAGTGTGCAGATGACTGGTGGCCGCA